AAAAATAGCTTGCACTCTTACTTTGGACGAAAGTTTCCACTATTTGAGAATATGCTCAAAATTGAATTTATTAATAGTTCAATTGTAGTTCTCACTTAAAATGCATACTACGCACACAAAAAAGCCACTATAGCGTACCTTTTGGAGGTTCCGTAGGGCTTCCAGTTTCTTGTTGACCTTTCGATGTTCGCTGATGAAAACATCGGAAATGAAATATTCGATCATCCGCCGTAGTGAAATCGGGATGGAATGCCACCGCTAGTGATGTTTCTAGAAAAACTCCCTCTGGTGACTTCGACCTGAAACGTGTGCATTTCCGTTCTAATTTCCGGGCAGCCTAGAGCTCATTGTTGGGCAAATTAATTAATCCCTGTTGTGCAAATGTGAATGCGACTTACCGACGTCTCGGCACTGCACATTCTTCATGCGGAACGAGCACCTCGATCTGATTATTCGTTACCAAGGTCTGTAATTAACCTGGATAATTTTCCGAGAATGCTAATCAAAGTCAATTCCTTGCAACGTCTCGTTATTGCTTATCGAGGGTCAAGAGAACAAGTTACCGTTTGAACTATAATGAAAATATTTTGAATAAAAATGTTCAAAAGTGGATCAATCTGAAATCTCTGATTGTCGAGTTGTAAGTAAGAGCATACAAAGTAAGAACTTAACCCCATTTTCGCTGTATGCTTCAAAATCTCATATATACATGAAAAAATGTCCCTCAGAGTTTTCTCCTTACTCCCAACGATATTTGGTTGTATCATGTTGAAGAGAAGAAATTAGAGCTTCATTCATATCTGAGCAAAGAATAGAGCTTAATGCTGCTTCCTTTTGATGAGAGTTATGCCTTTCTTAGTAAGACCGTTGGAAAGTGTACAATGCTATCTTAGAACAAAACGGGTCAATTTTCAATTTTTATGGGTAGAAGTTTTGGAAAGTTCTGTTTGGCTACGAGAGATCTTTTGGCTATAATGAGACAAAAAAGATATTAATGTCAGACGCAGGCATCGTAAA